CACGTCTGACCCAACTGACTCTAGAGGACAAGATGCTCGCTCTTCCTGCCCACTACCCTTCTTAGATAGGAGGGGACTTTTCCCAGGATCCCCAGAAAACATCCTTCATTGGCTATAGCTGGGTCACATGTCCCTTTCTAGACCAATCATTAGGATGGGGAGGATTATCACTATTTGTTTGGACTAATTGTGTGGGGAGGTAGATTAGCTGTTAGGAATCAGTCACCATTATCCTCCATAACTTAATATCAGGGCCCTTTGTTTATCATATATATTTTCCCAGCTTCCCATTTCTTACAACGTGGATTAAAATAGATCTTGACTACCGTATTTCTAAGATGGCTTTTTAGGTAAGCAAAGCATGATTATATTCACATTGTAAAAATTCAAATAATATAGAAAAATTTCGTGTAAAAAGAAGTGGAAGTCTCTCAATAACCTCTAAGTCTCAAATTGAGTTTACTTCTTCAAGGCCAGCAATCTATGAAGCGTGAGCCTTCCAAAACATTACCTGTGGATTTATGCACGGATATATGTGTGTATACCAATTACAGGGTTTTACATACAGTAAATCATCATGCACACACACTCAGTAGCTTTTTTCACATAACAATTTGTTTTGGAGATCTTCCCACGTGAGTTCCCTAATGGTGGACATTTAGGTTGTTTCTAATTATTTGCTCTTACAAACAGTGCTATAATTAACATCCTTGTAAATGTCTCTTTGTGCATATGGGCAAGCATTTCTTTAGGGTAGCTATCTATGGTTTGGCAATTTCTACTGCCTTTAATTGCATTGCCTGGTATCTGGCAGACGATCTTCTGCATGTACAATAACTTTTCATGTCCGTGCACCATTATAGTGTAAGTTCTAAAAAGATGTTTTAGGCAACAATTAGGAATCTAAGTTTAAGTTCAAATTCTGTGTGGATTGCTATGGTCGGCTGAGGTGACATTTGAATAGAGATTCCTCTCTTGGCTAAGTTTGTACAGGTACAGATAGTTGAGTTAAGTAGCAGATATGATCCCCCACCCCATCCTCTGGACCCCAACAGCCATTGTAAGGTACCTCATGATTTTTAAACCATTGAGGTATGGCACATTGAAGTTTAAAACATTGAGGTAGCACATGCCTGTAATCCCGGCTACTCAGGAACTGAGACAGGAAGATGGCAAGTTGAAGCCTAGCCTGGGCACCTTAGCAAGATCCTGTTTCTAAACAGTAAATAAAAAGAGCTGGGGTATAGCTCAGTAGTAGAGTGCTTCTAGGTTTGAACCCCAGTACCCCATGCACAAAAAAATTGAAATATGGGAAAAATACAACTTAGGATCAAGGAGTTATGCTATCTTATTTCCCCCAAATCAGTAGCCCATTGCTCCATCTGTGTGTTTGAATGCTCTGGTCAGTTTCTGGCACAGGTGTGTGTGTTGCTGGACTGGTCCCAGCATTGACCTGGCTGTCCGTTCTGTACTGGCTCATGGCCAAGCTCCCCTGCAACCTCCCTCCTGAACATTTGTCTACTGTTCTTTCTTTCTCCTCACACTGTTCCTTTTACTCTGGGTAATTCCTTAGCTGCTCACAATCTGCATGACTTTGCATCAGTTTGGCTATGAGAACATCTGCAGCAGGCAAGATGTTTTTCTGATGCCTTGACACTGTGCTTGCCATCAGCATGAAGTAACTCATTCTCTCTCCCTCTCTCTCTCTCTCTCTCTCTCCCCTGCATTGCTTCTCCAACATCAGTTATGCCTGAGTCTTGAATGGTGTCAATCTAAGTTGAAAATGTGCCAGCTTCCTTAACATTATCACTAACAGACTGCTTAATTAACCCGCTGACACTGTCAATAGTAGATCTTGCTGCTGGGTCAGAAAAGAGACCCATGGTTGTGCCTCTCTTTCTCCTTCTCTCCCTCCTTCCTTCCCCTTGGGCTCTGAGTTCTCTGTCTGGGAGATGGGCTTCCCAGGAGTGGGATGAGACCTGGGAGGTTTGGAAGGGATATGTAGCACAAAATCAAAAGTTCTTGATGACATGATGGATGTGAAATAACTGTCATAGGCTAGTGTCCTCACTGCTCAAAGGCTGGGGTGGCTAGTAGCTTGCACATACAGAGGTGCTCAATAAATGAAGCACCAATGTACACAGTCAACAGAAGAGATTTAAGACATCCACCATCAGGGGAGGACCCTGGGAGTCACCATCTTTCTGAGGTGGTCAGGGCTTTCTCTATCTTTTTTCATCCAGGCCCTTTAGAGGAGAGAGGGCCATTGTCATCCCCAATAGTATCCTAGAGAAGCTGTCTGAAGGAAAGGGAGGAGGCTGAGTTTCACTTCCTTTTGTGCTTCATCTTTTGTCTAACATGGTTTTGTGTTTGAACCAAGGTCCTGCTGGGTCCCACTATCCCTGAATTCTACACTTGGAAATTGCAAGATGAGCTGACCCATCACCACCTCCAAGTCCACAACTCTGTCCTCTCCATTTCCCACCCACACACAGACACAAAAAATGGGGGCTAGAGACATTTCAACTGCCCCCACTTCTCCTGCTCTAGCATGGGCACAGGGAGAGGCTGGTGTTCTGTGTGTGCAGCCTACACCCAGAGACCCTGTGGAAACCTAAATGGTGCCTCTGCTTTTGCACTTGGGAAAGACCATCAGGGGCAAGGGCATTGGCCTCTGACCTTCAGGGCATGCTCAGTCCTTGGGCCACAGTCCTATAACCTTTCCTTTTCTGAAGCAATGTTGGCAGCAGCAGAAGACAATCTCAGAGGGCAGGAATTGATGCCTTGGAGAGAAAAACCCCACTGTCCCTTCAGTGGTTTTCTTGGTCTTCTGGGAACTGTGGGCCTGGCAGCCCCAGGGGCATGGAGTAGACAGAGCATCCCTACTGCCACTAGAGGGCGTGTCACTGACAGAGGCCAGGTGCCAACTTCCCAAGACCTCCCTGGGGGCCCTTCTGGGCCCTGAGTATCCAGGAACCAGAGCTCACTTCTGGGGGTGAGTAGGGAGAGAACAGAGCCAGGACTGGAAGCTAAACCCAGATGTCCCCAAATCGAGGCTCCCAAGCCCTCTTCCAGGTCATTCTTTGCTCTTTGAATCTCTTTTACCTAAGATTCACCTTCCTAAGTCCCGCTCTGATTGTTGTTCAGATGGAATGCTTCTCAGGAAGTCTTCTTAGTGTCAGCACTATTGACATCGGGGGGCCAGGTAATCCTTTGCTGTGGAGCTGCCCTGTGCATCGCAGGGTGTTTAGCAGCATCCTGGTCTCTGCCCACTAGATGCCAGCAGCACCCCAGCCCCATTCCCAGATCGTGACAATCAAAAACATGTCCAGATATGACCAAATGTCCCTCAGAATCACACCTGGTTGTCAGACACTGTTTATAAGAAGTGATGCGCCTGCTGTGGGGACAGGAGAGGCAGAGGCTTGCACCCCGGCCACAGAAGTCTGCCTGTGGTTAGCACGGCACAATGTCGTGTGACAACAGTAGAGATGCTCGAAGATGGCATATGTGCTCTAAATGCATTTTAGAACTGTATTTGCTCTCCTGCTTTTCCTCTCCAAAGACTGCAGAGCCTTTCAGTCTTTGCCTCACTTTATTCCACTTCTCCACTTCATTGAAACAGAGATGGGCTCAGAGACACCAGGGTCTTAAGCTACCCTTCACCTGCAGAGTCCTGACCCCCAGCTGTGAGCATCCTAGACCACTAGGGTCTCTGGCCCTTGGCTCGGGCCCCAGGAGCATCTGTGGGCTCCCTTCTACTCCGCCTGCCTACTGGGCCCTGCCACCCTCCAGCTCCCCAAACCCGGGCGCCCCCCCACACTGGAGAGGGGGAAGCAGCAGGTGTTGATGCTAATCAGCGTTCACAGCCCAGAACTGCAGTCGCTCCCAGGCTCACACACTCCCCAAAATTAAACACTCATTATACAAAATTAATTGACATTAATTAGCAAAAATTAAAACTTTAAACACAGCAAGGCGCTTTGGGGGGAGGAGTGAAGCAGGCGGGCTCTGCATTTGTCACCCCCACTTCCCACTCACCCACCACCCCCAAATCTCCCCACTTCCATCTGAAGCAAAGCTGGAGGAGTCAGGGCAAGGCTGACTGCACCCCACCAGGAACCTAGGCCTGGCCTCCTGTGTCCTGGGCAAGGAGAACAGGAGGGGGTACCCCGAGTTAGTGGCTCACTGATGGAGCCCACAAGCTCTGTGTTCAGTGCTAAAGTGAGGAGCCAGGAGCTACCCCTCAGTCCAGGTCCCTAAGATCCCAACTGGGACAGGAAGGCACATGGCCAAACCAAGGCATGCAACCATTGGAAGAACTCTGCTTATCCTCCATCCCTCTATCTTTTGAAAGCTTAGAGGTTTAGGCAGTGTAGCCTTTCTGCTCTGCCCCACTTTGCTGTGTGACCTCAGTTGAGTCACCTCCCTCTCTGAGCCTCAGTCTTCCACCCATATGAGAGGGTGGCGCTGGGTAAGCATTGAGGTTCCTGCCTGCTCTGGCACCTGCTATCAGAGATACAAATCTCTTCGAACTTGATTTGCTGTGAGGAGAATGAGGAACTGAATATGGGGACTGGCATTTCAAGAGGATAGGGCACCCTAAGTCACTGAGTCACTGATGGTGGAAGATCAGGCCTCAGGAAAATGTGTCTTGTGGCCAGAGAGCCCTCCAAGATCAGCATCCACTTTGCCTGCCTATAGGGCTGCCCCAGAGGAGAAGAAAGCAGCACCTTTTATAGGTAGGTGGTGGCTCTCTTAAGCCCGAACAGTCCCTACCAATACCCATTGTTTTCCATCTTTGTTCAGAATGTTCCCAAGGGTCCCCAAATCCTTCACCAGCACGATAGGCAAAGGGACAACAGAAACACACCTCCCCCCAACCTTAGCAGCCTTGGCATTTGTTCCGAACTGTTGTGGCAGAGTAAGAAGCCAGTGCTGCCCCCAGGTGGAATGCCCTCTCCCCCTCACACCTATTCCCTGCACCCCTCTCTCTTCAGCCAGTGCCAATATCTGCAACGTGGTCCTGATGCGGTACGGGGAGCTGGAGGAAGGGATTGATGTCCTGGATGTTGATGGCAACCTCGTGGGCTCCTCCAGGATCGCAGCCAGACATGTGGGTTGCCCTGGGGGTTTGAGGGGCCTTGGCAGGGGGTTGATTTTTCGTATAATATGTTACTTCCTGGGGGCCTCTCCCCACAGCACCCTGGTTTTACCCTCTTGATGTCTCCTCCTCACCCCCTCCCCCATCTGTATGAGCACTAGACCTCTGTCTGCCCCCAGCCAAGCCTGTTCCCCTGGACAGTCCTTCATTTCTCTCCAACCTCTCCTCCCATCACCACTCTAAAATGTCCTCATTTCTTGTCCCAGCCCCTCAGGAACCAGCTTCTCAGATGAAGTGTTAATTGGTGAGGGCAAGGGAGACCCCCTCCAGGGCTTGCTCCCAGTCCCCAGAACTCAGGGCCCTGTCACCCTGGGCCTCACCATCCTCTTGGGTAAAAGAGGAAGCTGGAAGTCAGTGGAGTGTGATCTGGCTAATAGGCCCTTCTGCAGCACTGCCTCACTGGGACCCAGCACTGGGAGCTCCTGGGCTCTCAGGCTTTCGGAGAGGCAACTGGAGAATATTTTATTACAAGACCCTCTCTCTTATCTTGTTTCACTGGCTCCACCCACTCTGGCACTGTAATTTAAGGGAAAAAAACAAACCTCCTAGTCCATGTGTCCATGTCCTGTTCTTCCCTGAGCTTCATCCTGATGGTGGTTTGTGGCTGGTCCTGTTGTCCTGGGCTCTAGTCTCTGAGTGCTGGGAAGGGGCAAGTGGTCAGCCACAAGGTAGCTGAGCACACACCCCTGTCCATGAGGTCTCTAGATAAGTCTGCAATCTGGGAAGAGTGCTCTCTGGGTCCTCACCCTCCTGGCCCCATCAGTGTCAGGGCAAGGCTGTGCCTATCCAGAGTTATGCAGGGCTGGAAGCTGGGAGCCATGCAACAGTGCATGTTCTGCTCTCTGCCTGGCTCTGGACCCTCTCATCCTTTCCGTAGCTGTTCAGAAATCTCAAGGGACCTTCTCTGTGGCCTTCCTGAAGCTGGTCATGGAGGGTCCAAGTTCCTGAAACTTCCATCCTTGAGCCCATCATCAGAGGGGATTTAGTCTCAATTTCCTACCTGACCCCAACCCTATCCTTTTCCCCAGTCTTCATCAGGGAGGATAATTATGACAATTCTCCCTTGTGGGTCAACCAGCAAAGAAGCCCAGGCTCTTCTGTAGCCCTGGACTCCCTTCAGCCTGGCTCCATCTCTTCCTTGCTGTCTGGGGAAAGACTGAAGGATCTGTGGGCTATGAGCCTTAGCTGGAAACTCTTCTGTGGATGGGAGCCCGTGGGGTTATAGGGACTCCCCACAATGGCCATCAGAGCACAGAATGGAGCTGGGCCATGAGGATCCTATGGGATCCCCAAGAGCAAGGAAAGGATGCCAGGCAGACCCTTGATGGAAGCCCTGCAGGGGTTCAGCAGAAACATGGGCCCCTTACAAAGCTGACTTCTTGTCACTAGGAAGGACTCTTCTAGAGCCAGAAGACAAAGATGTTTTGAATCTTTGTCTTTAAGAGATGCCCCTCCCCAAAAAAGTAAATTCCAGAATCTCTGCCTAGCCCCAGCTGTTTGTTCTGGCCCTTCTAGCACCTGCTCTGTTTTGAGAGCATCTCAGGTCCTCCGTGTGCTACTCCTAGCCCCTGTATATCCCAGGCTGGGGAGGCTGTCCTCTCCAACCAAAGCACTGCCTGAGCATTGGCCCCTTCCTGGGCCTGCTTCTGTCACCACTCCTCTCCAACATGTGGCAGGTGACAAGAATCTGCTCTTTCCAAATGTGTGTGGTAAGAAGACGGAGGTGGCTTTTTTTCTGTTGACTAGAATGCAGCTTTGTGAGCAATTCCATGAATAATTCTATGTTGCCAGATGTGCTTAGCAGCAGCACACCTAGAGCCTCTGGGGGCAGGATTTGCTGCCAGGTGGCCGTCCCTCACCCCAGGAGCCTCTCACTACAGCTTGTCTTGCCTCACAGGCCCTGCTGGAGACAGCACTGACTCGAGTGGTCCTGCCTATGCCCATCCTGGTGCTCCCCCCGATTGTCATGTCCATGCTGGAGAAGTAAGTTGGGTAGCTGGAATGGAGGGGCAAAAGAGAGGAGGGGGGAGGGGATCCCAGTTTGTTTCAGGGATGGAAAATATCCTGCTCTTTATCAGATTCCCAGGAATAGGGTGTGGAATGGTTCTGTGAGGATTTGTGGATTCCTACTATGCAGGCTGTGTGCTAGGGACTGTGGGATGGCCACAGACAAGATTAGCCCCACACTGAGGACCTGGCGGTGTGTGTATATGTGTGTATGTGTGTGTGCGCCCACACATGCATGTGTGTACAGATGCTGTCCTAGTGAACAGTGAGGCAGAATCTGAGGTCTCTGGTAGGAAGCCTGGATTTAAGGCCAGCATCATTCCTTGGGGGCATCCACCATGAGTAACCTACCTGCATCCTCAGAGAGAAGGTATAAGGATGCATATCTATCATGACTGTTAAGAAATAAGGGAACATAATAATATTAATAAAGTGAAACAGCAGGATTGCACGTCTGAGCCCAGCCCAGGCAACTTAGTGAGATCCTCTTTCAAATAAAAAAGGGGTAAAAAAAAACCCTATAGATCGACCAACCAACCTTCCAATCTTGGGCAGGGATTTAGTTCAGTGGTTACGCTGCCTGTCTCGAAAGCGCAAGGACCTGAGTTCAATCCCCAGTACCAAAAAACAAAACAAAAGAGGGACTGGGGATGTAGCTCAGTGGTAGAGAGCCCCTGAATTTGATTTGCAGTATGAGAGAGAGACAGAGAGAGAGAGAGAGAGAGAGAGAGAGAGAGAGAGAGAGAAAGAGAGAGAGAGAGAGAGAGAGAGAGAGAGAGAGAGAGAGAGAGATTGCGATTCTATTAATTGAGTGTGAAAATTAATGGTGAAGATTGAAGTGGTGCTGCAGAGAGAGCCTGAGCAGAGAGGGAAGAAGGAACCAGGCCCTGAGCTCTAAGTTAGACCCAGGAGAATAGCACAGAGCAGGGAAGGACCCTAAGTGGAGGGAACCTAGAGGTTCAGAGCCCTGGCTTATGTGGGTGGTGGAGATGATGGCTGAGAGCAGGATAGGAGTTTTTGCAGAAGGGAGGGCTCTCTGGGAAGGCTGCTGGCCTGTTCTTTGGACATTGAAGAGTCCAGCCTGGCCAAAGCAAAGCATGCTCATTGGGGCCAGCAGATAAAAGGCCCCATGCGGCTGGCTGAGATCATCTTTCTCACCCTAGAGGAGGTTGGTACCCCTTGGTACCTGAGCAAGGCATGTTGGACATTGGGATCGAAAGAAATTCATCCAGTATGGGAATTCAAAAGGCAAAAATAAATAGATCTTAGGAGGGCAATCTCTTTTGTGCATCTGGGCCTTGTATCTGTAGCTCCCTTGTGAAATAAAGTTGTCTCAACCAGCAGCCACTGAAAGTACACCCAAAGAGATGAGGAGCCAAATGTCTTCAAGGCTGCCGAATCCTGAACCTTGGAACTGTGAGGCAGGTTCACTGTACACTGATTACCAGTCACTTGCATGATTCTGGTTAGATAAAACACTTATGTGACAAGCAAAGAAACTTCAATATTCATGGATAGGCATGGAAGGGCTACGGAGACCCAAGATTTACAGCAAGCTGGTCCCTCAAGGCTTAAGAAAGTCATTCAAAGAAAATGGAGTCTCATCTGTCCATGGTCCATGTCACACTGGCAGCTGAGGGACCCAGAAAAACACTTTTCCATGGGTTTTATACCCCCAGGAAACTGAGATTGCTGAGCTAGAGCATTGCAGGAATCCTGTGCTGGGAGGAATGGGAACAGATCCCAGGCTGTAGTTCCTCCTTATCTCAGGATGTTGCAGTCCCAGCACATTCTACAGTTACCCTAAGTGCTACAAGCAGGAGGGTTGGCTCAACCAAGCTGAAAGCTGGCTCAGCCAAGGCCATCCAGGGAACTGTCCTTTGTAGGAAGCCTGTGATGCCTTCCCAGTTTGCATCTGAGAAGAGTTTGCAAAAAGTGAGATAATGGTTAATGTCCCATCGGTTTGGGGACTTAAACTTGGCTTTAGGAGTCATGGGGGGTGGTATGGTATGGGTAGTTCTGAACCTTCCCAGACCAGAATGTACCTAGTGTCCTGGGTGCTGCATGGTCTGGCTCAACTCAGGGTCCAAAGAATCCACTGGGTGTAAGGTTAGTTGTTGGTGCTCCTCCTAGAGCTCCAGGAAGGGTTTCTGGGGAGAAGAAAGTATCTAGCCTGAGTTGCCCCATGAATATCAAGATGAATAAGATCTGGTTCATGCCCTCAAAGACTTACTAATCTCACACATATACTGAAATGGCAGGACTGGGCAGTAAGAGAGGCAGGGCAAGGGAGTGGAGTGAGCTGGGACTTCTGGTAGGAAAATGAAACCTGAGTTCCTGCTTCACCATTTCCTGCCAATCGGCTATGGTCACCGAACTTCTGTCAACCTTAGTTTCTCCCTGGAAAAAGATACTGTTTACTGGGGCTTTGCATTTTGCACTAGCCAGAAGCTCTTTGGTCCATTATAGCAGGGTGGAGGTACTCTAGCGCAGGGCCTCTGCTGAGGAGACTGGTGAGGGAGGCAGCCCCCACCCTCTGGAGCTCAGGAAGGGTGAGGGAGTCCGGACAGCCAGAGAAAAAAGACAAAAGAACACTTACAAAGCAGCCTACTTGCAAATTAATGGAGTGCAAATTAAAACTGCTGAAGGAATGCACAGCAATGGGGGAGACCAGCTGTTGTGTGGCAGGGCTGGAACTTGACTTGCTTGCCTCTGGCCTCACTTTATTGTCTCTAGGAGGAGCACTCTGAGCTAAGGAGCCAGGGCTTCCTGCTAGGATAAGAGAGGTGGGAGCTACAGCCTCACAGTCCCTGGCTCTGAGACAGAAAGGAAAAGTCTCCAATAAGAAGTAGAGGGGGTCTCCACCTGCCGCCCAGAGCTGGGCTGACTCTGAGGAGATGCAGGTGTACACAGGTTGCATCTTCTAGCTCCCCAGGTGAAAGCTGGGTTTTGACTTACGGCTAGGATGAGCCCCCCAGGTATAATATCTCCAGCTCTGAGGCTGGCACCTGTGCTGCATCTGGAAGGCCATAGCTAACTCCTGAGCCCCAGGATGTGCCTAGAAAATGCAGGCTGGATCTAAACTGGGTGGGGGTCCAGGCTACACCCTTGATGGGTCCCAGAGTCCGCTCCCCCATCCTCCTTCATTCCTTGGGATCCGGGTCTTTCCTTTCTCCAGGCATTTGCACATCTCTCCATCTGCATATTTTAACTCCCCCAGCTGCCTTTCCAATCCCTCCTTGCCATTTCCCTTTCCTCTTCCCCTCCCCCTGCCCTGCTGTGTTCACTCTGCCTGCCTGGGGCTGGGACTCCTCTATTCCGGTTTGATTACAGCCTTGGGCCTGCCTCTTTCCTGAGCTGGGGGCACAGGCCTGGGACTTCCTAGGCTCCCTGTCCACAGGAGTCTGCAGCCAGACACCTTGAGAGCAGAGCCCAAGTCACAGGCCATATAGAAGGGGATTTATGCAATGCCCTCTACCTCTGGAAGTTCCAAGGTGGGAGCCCAAGATCTGCCCCTCATCTGGCTGCCTGGAGGGGACTTCACTCTTTTTCCCTGTCACCCTTTCCTGCCCCCAGAGACCCTCAGGGCTCTCCTGGAACATCATACCCTCCTGTCACGGCCACTGGAACAGGAGGCAGCCCCACTTTGCACAGCGTGTGTGCTGTGTAGGGAGCAGGCCGTGTGTCCCACTCTCCTAGTTGTGCTTGACAAGTGGATCTGAGCTGAAAGCCATCATGAGATTGGTCCTACCCTTTCTCCAGTCCCTCCATGACTCCTAAGAGAGCATAAGAGGCCTTGAGCTGATTCCAGGGAAGTGTGGAGCTAGCAGGGACCAGAGGAAAAAATAGGGCACTGTGCCCCTGTGCTCTTGATCCTGTGGAACCCCCTCTCCTATAGCTCACCTCAGGCTTAATTTGACAGCTGGATAATCTCAGGGTCTGCACCCATGTGAAAGACTAGTGGACAGCTCAGCCACTAGTAAGAACTCCTTCTGCATGTATTGCACAGGCAATAACCACAGCAAAAATGACACACAATTACAGAACACTTACTGAAGCCCAGGCAGGAACTGATCCATTTTCTTGCATAAAACTATTAAGTAATGGAATCTTTATTACTACCTAAGCAAGGACATCCTGGGACAGGGTTTCTTCGAAGTGTGATCTTGGGATTACCTATTTTAGACTCAGAGGGGTTGTTTCAAATGCAAATTTCTAGGTCTACTACCAAAGGTATCAGATTCTCAGGAGGCAAGGGGCCTTTGGGAGTTTGCATTTTTAACCAGCTGCCTAGACCAGTGCACACAAAAGTTTGAGAACTGCTGCTCCTAATTTTGCTGTCGGCTCAGGGCCAGATGTCCTGGGAATTCTTGTCCCAGGAGGTGAAGGTGAGATGAGGGTTGCTTGCCCCATACTGTGGACCTATGTTAGGGGGCGATGTTAGTCAGCTTTCCATGACTGTAACAAATACCTCAGATAATTATAAAGAGAAAGGGTTTATTTTGGATCATGGATCCAGAGGTTTCAGTCTGTCATTGATTGGCCCCGTTGCTCTGGTCTGTGGAGGTAGCATACCATGGCAGAAGTAGATAACAGGGAAAATCTGATCCTCTTATTCCCAAGGAGTAAACAAAGGGGGCGGGGGACAGACAGACAGACACTAGTGTCCATCCCCTTCACGCCTTCAAGGGCATTCCCAGTGACCTGAAGACCCTGAAGACCTTCCACTAGGCCCCATACATACTAGGCAAGTGCTCTACCCCTGAGGTATATCTTCAGCCCTTCACACACACACCCCCGCCCCGTATATATATATATACCTCTCTGGACAGGATCTTGCTAGGTTGCCCAGGCTGCCCTTGGATTTTGATCTTCCTGCCTCAGCCTCCTGCTTAGCTGGGATTACAAGTGTGCTCCACCACATCCAGCTTTAGGCCCCACCTCTTAAAATTTCCACCTCCTAATTCTACCATGTTGGTGACTAAGCCTTTAACACATGGGCCTTTGGGGGACATTTAAGATCCAAATCATACCGGAGGCCTCTCATCTACGTTCACAGCCAGGGCTGCTCCAGTGGGTAGGGGCAAGAGCCCCTATTGTATCCTCTTCTCACAGGAGTTTGTCACATGGAGGCGATACAGAGGTCAGATTTAGTACCCATGTAACATCCTCTGGCAAACAGTCTGGTTATCCAGCATGCTGGCTCACTTATGCCTCCCCCTGCTCCCACCAAGTGGAATGCTGTGGTCTCCACTACAGGGCCTGCTGGACCATGCACCATGGAAAGCTCTGGTGAACATGGCTAAGGTGCATTTGCCAGCTGGAGTGGTGGTCCCCGCTGTCTCAGGATCCCATTCTCTCCTGCGGTGGAACACCCAGGGCCCTGGAGGGAGGGTTATCATTATCTCTCATTCAAAAATCTCACCTCCAAAGCCTGCCACAGGGAGTGGGGCCAGCTGTGGCATGCTGGGGAGGAAGCTGGCAAAAGGTCCTGAAGGTTGGGGCCAGGAGCATCTTGGGGTGACAGTTATGACAGAAGTCAGGAGTTCAGGCAGCAACAGCAGCATATTTGGCCTTGGCCCTGGGCAAGTCCTTGGCCCTCTCTGTGGCCCTTGGATTGAAGTTGATGAGGTGGTCAGTAGGATGTCTTCTGCTCCCACACATAGGACAGGACACCTGCTCCGGGCTGTGCATATGTGTGTGCATGGATGTGTGTGCTTTGTCTTCTTCTCTGCTAGATGGTCTGGCTTGTTTGCTGTTTAATTGACTCCTTCATGTCTCCCCAGCAGCAGTGACAGGCAACCCCCTCTACTGTCTCCCACACATGTGACCTTCTTGACACAGGGCTGGACACACAGTGGGTGGCAACCCCACAAGTTCTCATTTATGATTTGAGTAGTTGAAGATTCATCCAGCATTGTCCTTCATGACTGGACCTGGAAGAGGAGTGACAATTGGAGAAGGCCCAAAAGACAGAATTCTGCTACATGTTTAGTTAGGGGCTGGCACTGGCCGAAGAACCAGATTTTCTCTGCCCTGAGACTGAGCAGGACCCAGTATGCTGGCTAGTAGCCATCCCACACTATCTTCAGGTCTTCAGGCCTCACAGGCTCCTTCTTCCCTCTCCTCCACAGGACGGCTCTCCTGCAGGCGCGCCCCCGGCTGCTCCTGCCCGTGCAAAGCCTCGTGTGCCTGGCAGCCTTCGGCTTGGCCCTGCCGCTGGCGATCAGCCTCTTCCCACAGATGTCAGAGGTCAGTGGGGGTCAAGGGCAGGGAAGGGAGGGGTGCAGTTGGGTCATTTATTAACAAAGACTTATCCAGTACTGACTCCTTAGCACTGTGCGAGGCACTGGGATTGGAACTGTGAGTGAGACTGGCCAGGCTCTGGCCTCTCAGAGTTGAAGGTCCAGCAGTAAACACAAGGAAGTAAGTCAGCTGGGCATGGGAGAAGACAGCGCTGAGGGAAGTGGCAGTTCCCTGGGCTGGAGTTGGCCAGGTGAGAAGAGTTGGGGCACACATGGGCTAGGGACCAGTTGGTGTGAAGGTGCTGAGGAGAGGCAGCGCATGGCGTGTCCCAAGAGCAGGGAGTGGAGTGAAATTTGATGGGCCCGGTAAGGGGAGCTGGGGCCAGGTGGTGTGGGGTACTTGGAAGCCAAAGCAGAGAAGGTACATGTTATCCTGAGGGCTGTCCAAAGGAGGACCACAGATTCCTGATTTTGAACAATCCCCAGAGCTGTGTCATGAGGCTGGGTTGGAGCTCTGGAGGAGAAGGAACCATCAGGAGGCTGTGGCAGGCATCCAGCAAGAGATGATGGCGACTTGGACCAGGCTGTTGGCAGTGGGCATCAAGAGAAGCGGGGCCTTTGAGAGAGAGAGTTAGGCGGCCGCTTCATCAGGATTTCGTGAAGAACTGCATGTGGTGGGAGGGAAGGGAGCCAGCAGGATGCACGTCTGGTTTTCTGGTTTTGAAAGCAGAAGGCAAATATAGGTACTACTTAACAAGATGGAGACACGAGGAGAGGCAGGGTTGAAGGAGGACAGCAAGTTGAGTTGGATGGACTCATGGGTGTGAGGAGCCTGTGCAACATGCAAATGGAGATGCCCTGTGAGGAGTTGGCTCTAGGTCTGGAATTCAGGAAAGAGGCCTGGGCTCAGGGACGGAAGTAGAGGCCACCAGGATAAAACCAGTACTGTACAGGCAGAGCCAGGCAAGTATGACCAAGGGCAGGTGGGCCACCCAAGCCTGGTGAGGTTGGAGAGAACCTATTATCCTTCAGGCAGTGGAGGCAAACCTTGTACCCAAGGGGTGGGGCCCAAATGAGAGATGAGGCTTGGCATGGAGGGAAGAAAGAGAACCAGGACTGGGCTGGGGATTTAGCTCAATGGCACCACTCCTGCCTTGCAAGCGCAAGGTCCTGAGTTTGATCCCCAGTACAGCTAAAAAAAAAAAAGAGAGAGAAACAGGACCATCGCTAGAATAGATATGGGATCCAGAGAGCTTTTGTTTATTTACTTATCTCTTTTTTAAATGGGAGGAACTGGGATTTGTGTAAGTTGAAAAGGGAAGTACCAGGAGGGAAACTGAGAACATGGGGAGGAAGAGGGAAGGGAACTAGAGCATACACAAGGGACCAGTCTTGGCAGGGCATGAGCCCCCTGCTCACTTTAGCAGATGGGAGAGAAATAGGGGGCAGATGAAGTAGTGTTGAGAGATGAGTAGGAAGCCATGTGGGAGAAGCAGGTCCAAGTAACTGGGCCCATGAGAATTGAGGGGGTGGGGAGTGAAGGAGTTTGGGTCAGATAGGAAGACTCTGAGCTTGTGATTTAAGGATTGACCCTGCTTCAGAAAAGGCATACAAGAGGTGGTAGGAAGGAAGCCAGGGAAGGAGACCATAAGGGGCAGGCTGGTGAAGACTGGACCCAGGGCCTTAGGGTAGGAGGTAGAGACAGCCTCCCGGCCCAGGTCCTGGGGGTATCATCCAGGGCAAGCCAGGGTAGGAACCTGGAGTGTGATAAGACCCAGCACCTATCTCACACCCACAGGGCTCAGCTTTGTTGTGAGGGCAGGGACACCCTTCCCACCCCCTGGAAAGCCCAGCCTGGATGCCAGGTTACCTAGAAGTGTTTAAGACAACAGGAGAGTATTCTTGGAAATCCGTGACATCTGCATCCCTGAGGGGCTGGGCCTGGCACTCCCTGAGTCCTTGTCTCTGTGCAGTCAGCCTGAGCCCAAGGTTCTAGGAGAGGTTCTGAGGGCCGCACATGCTTGTGGCACAGTTGTGCTTAGAGCTTCAGAACTTGTGAGGCTTTCCTGATGCTCTGCCTACCAACATGGGGAGGAACCCAGGGCAGAAAAGCTCAGGACATCGAATCAGAGCCTATTCCAGCTACAAGAATTTCAAGGTCTCCTGGATCTGCTGGGAAATGAAAGCCCAGGGAAGCCAGGTGCCAAGGTGAGAGGAAACTATAGAGGTACAGTCCTCATTCCCAGTGCAGAGAGGTGGGCCAGTGGCAGCTGCTGTGCCTCACAGAGGCTCCCTGTCAAAGCCCAGCTTCTCTGATGCCCATGCCTGCCCAAATAAGAATGGAAGATAGTTTTTCTGGGTATCTAAACAAAGTCCCCTTGCCACAACCCAGGCTGCTTTCTCTAGACGAGGAAGAATATAATCATTGTTTAATAGGTCTTTGTTCCCTAGGAAGGAAGGGTAGGAGCATGATTTTCAGAGCTACGTGCTCAGTCTCAGAAGGATGCAAGCTGCCATGGGCATTATGGGGTATTTGGAGGCCTGTCTGTGACCCATGGCACCGAGGCCAATCAGCCAATGGCTGAGAGGACCTCATGCTCCCCTATTCATCCTCCCAATTAATTCTAACAAGGTACTTCTTGCCATACAGGGATCATGTCTCTCATCCCAGAAACCAGTGGGATTTGCCTTAATAAGTCTGGACTTGCTTGAGCTGACCCAACCTTGCCAAAAGTCACCAAGGCTGTCAACAGAAGTAATCACTGAAACACTAATTAATTAATTAGGGGACTTGGAGATCAAGTTTAGGAACTGGTTCCTAGAATGGCTGGCCTGCAGTGATTGGTATGGTTTCTAGATGTTGAGGGAAGAACTTCAATCCCTTCTTTAATTCCTGGGAAGGAGCTTTTGTCTGTTCTTTTCAAATCAGTATTCCTGCCATTAAGATGACACTGAGGGTCAAATTGCAAATAATAATAATAATAATAATATATCTACCTTTACTAAGCATCTACTATACCAGGCAGCATGCTAGGAACTCTGCAGGCTTTATTATATGAAGACCTCCTAATGCCCTTAAGTCCAAAGTATTATTGAATATCAAGGGATGTTAACTAGACAGTTAGATGTGTGCAACCATAGCTATGGGGACAGATTTGGCTGGAGATAAGGAACCTTCAGTGGGGGGTGGGGGGCGACTGAAGCCAAGGAGAGGGTAAGGTCATTGTGGGAGAAGGAGACAACATCAAGAAAGGAAAGGCAGGGCTGGGGATTTGGCTCGGTGGTTTCACCGCCTGCTGCGCAAGTGGAAGGATCTGAGTTCGATCTCTGGCACCAAAAAAGGAAAGGAAAGGTGCTGCCAGAGCCTGTAGAGGGAGAACCCCAGGTAGAGTACAGGCCTGAAAACCAAGGACAAGGCCATTTCAGAGGGAGCTACCACAGAAGGGATTCATGAAGCTGATAAAGCTTGGTGACTGGGTGATATAGCTAGACACAGGAGTCTAGGAGTCAAAATGGTAATCAGTTTTCTGTCTTTGTTCAGAGAGGTAAGCTCAGGGATACGTAAGCATGGGAGATCAGCCAAAAATTTCCACTCACTGGTGCTCTGGGAAATGGGGGATGGGGGTTTGGCAAAAGGGCAATGTTCCAGAGAGACTGCCCTTAGCCTGAGGTGAGAAGGATGGCCTCCGAGGGTCCCTGGGCCCAGTGGGTAGAGGGGTCTAGTTTGCTATGGCAGGGAACTGGAGAGTGCAGTACATGGCAACCCTACAAGGAAGGCACCAATGTCCCTTGTTTACAAATGAGGAAAATGAGGCTCATTAAGGTTGAATACCTTACCTGAGGTACATATTGGTAATGGTGGAGCTGGCTTAGTACCCAGGCAGAAAAGTTCTACAATCCTCCTCAGCCTTTCCATACTTCACTGTACAAAGAGGCCCAGACTACTCACTGCTTATTCATCAGTAGGACCATTCCAATGCCCTCCCCTTGGCCTCCTGTCCTTCACAAGGAATAGGTATCCATTTTCACAGGGACTCGCTGGAGTGTGCATCTTTGTTTTCTGAGAGCTGAGGAAGGGGTAGAGGAGTCTAGCAGCCCAACAGATGGACCTGGGAATCTCCTCATGACTTGTGTAGAACTGGGGGACAGGACCCGGCCTCCCTGCTGGGCCCAGTCCCATTGCCTGTGCAGGGAACATGGCGTCTGCCCAAATGGGCCCTGTAACCTAACCAGATGGGCCTTGTAACTCAGGCACACTTGGCCAGGCTGTTCCCAGGCATAAGCAGGCCCATTCACACCCAGAATCAGTTCCCTGTCCTATAGTCCCCCATATAGATTGGGAGTACTTTCCCTTCTTGTAACTGGCGTGGTCGTATCATGACTTCTGGTCTCAGAGAGCCTCCATTCCAGTGGTGGAAACAGAAACTCAAGAACTATCCTGTGGTGGGGAGGGCTGTGATTATGCTTGCTCCAGTGCCCACTTTAGGTCCGGTAGGTAGTGGAAGCTTCCTGATTTGTGATGGCCTTCCTGGCCCTGCCCTCTGTAGAGATTAGGGCTCTGAATTCCAGGCCTCTGTCCCTCCTCCCCACACCCACCCACATACACGGCTGCCTCAGGTCCCTCAAGGATGTCCAGATCCAGCCTGTAGACCCATGGGCTTGGCTGCCATAAGAGGCTGAATAGGGTGGTGGCAAAGGTCCCTCCCACTCTGACAGCCGGTGCTCCCTACCTGGAAGCACTTCCAGTCCTGTTTAACGAACCTCATGTCTCCTGAGAGCAGGAAGCACTACCTTGGCCAAGCCACCCTTCCCTCCTCCCTGCCTCTATCCTTCTTTGTGCCTCTTCTCCCTTCCTTGATTCCTCTCAGTTTGTCCTCCCATCCACAGCACCCACCCCCCACCCCACCCCCCCGAGCTGAGGGGCTGGGGAACAGGGCTGCACATACAAGCCGGAGCTATTGTTCGACAATCTGTTTTTGTCTTCATCTTGTTGGCAGGCGGCAGGAG